TGGGGAATTCTGGGAGTTGAAGTCCACACATCTTCAAGTTGCCAAGGTTGAGAAACACCGGCTTAAGGCCTCACTAAGTCTAAAGCCAGCACTTGCTATGACACAGTGTTGAGTGGAGATATAATCTTTTATGGTGTGACTTCTGATGGGAAACCGAGGAAGCAGATAAAAAACTAACCCTAACCCTCTGAGCAAATGCAAAGTGTATTTACAGCATTTCCCTAACCAAGCTGCAGGTATTAACTCTATAAGCCTACTCTTCCTTTTGCTATAGAGCGCAAATTGCCCCAGATCAGATAGCAGCAATGATTTTGGAAAGCGGAAGACTATTCTTTTGGCCAGTGGTGTCCACGAGACCTGGTCCAAAAAGTCAAGATGGTGGCTACAACAGTGTGATCAAAACTCCATCTACTTTTTATGTGCAAAAACAGGTGGAATTTCAATCACAGCATGGTGGCCGCCATCTTGAATTTTTCGACCATATCCTGCTAACCTCTTTGCTTTCAGCCCTTGATGTGTGGCTTAGGTTATCTTTCTGAAACAGGTTTGTGTAATGTGGCTCAGGCCAAGCCTTAGTGCCAGTGAGACACAAAATTAAAGTATGCTCAGACCAGGCTTCAAAAAAAGAAAAAAAACCCAAGTCCAAATTCCCAGGCCATGATGCAAACCCCTTTTCTCAGCCTGCCCAACCTGCTTTGTTGTATCAAGTGGGGAGCGGAAAATGTGTAATCTCATTTCTTTGAAGGAAAAATGAATAAATGTCAATCGGTGAGCAAAATACAAATGGGGGGGGGTGAATTTTGATGATCTCGTCCGTGTTAGGTTGTGTACAAACCTCAGAGCCATATCCCTGCTCTGCTTTTCACCTTTTGAACAAGCACTGCGTCATAATTGAGCTGAGTTTCTTTTTCACTTTTCTCCGCTGTGACATCCTGTCACTGGCAGATAGACTTCAGAGGGTGCATGTACACACGTTTCTCCTGCTACTGCTAAAGGTATGTATTTGTGGAGGGATGTCTGTGTTTAGACCCGGGGGGGGGGGGGGGGGGAGGGAAGAAATATGGAAGTAAAATTGCAGGGAGCAGAACGGTTCAGTTATTCTATTTTTGCTCTAACTGAGATGGGCAGAAACCAGTTTGGGAATCCTGATCAGTTTTAACCAGCATCCTCTCTCAGCTGTCAGACTGAACTCTTTGGTTAGGTCCCTGTAGCTGTGCCTTGAACAGCAGGTTGATCTGGGGCAATTATGGGGTGATTCCTGAGCTCCCGGTGTGAAGATGCCCCTTTCACCTGCTGATTTCTGCATGTAAAACAGGCTTTCTTTCCTGGCCAGGCTGAGACCTGCCATACTGCAGTGGTTAAGATGTTGGATTAGGAAGGGGGTTCTAGTCCAGCCTCAGCCATGGAGCCTTAACTTGGGTGATAGAGGGCCAATCATTCTCTCTCAGCCCAACCTACCCTGCAGGGCTGTTCTGCAGAAAAATAGGAGAAGGAAGCCCTACATATGTCACATTCAGCTCCTGAATGAAAGGCAGGATGTACGTTCAATTAATAAGTATGGAAAGATCAGTTGGCACTCCAAAGCCACAATCATCAACCCTTCTCAAATATTATTCCAAGGCAAAAGAAATGCATCTAGAAATGGAAAGGAAATGAATTTGCATTAGCAAGATCTTTCAGTCATGCTTATGAACATTAGAATATTTTATGGATCACCTCACATTTTCATGCCACAATTTTGCAGCCAGTGCTCATTCTTCCCTTAACTGTGTTCCTGTGCAGGTCTAGTTGTTTACTTCACCCCCATACATTGGAAGTGAAGGGATTCCCTTATGTTTCTTTTTAAAGATTTTAAGTGGGAAGGGCAACCTGGCTGTGTGTGTGATGTGGTGCTGCACAGATTTCATAGATAAAAAGACCGCATGACAAAGAATTTGCAAATAAAATTGGCGTGTAAAGCCTCTTTACCTTGGATATCTATAATACTTGGATATCTATAATACTTTTAAAAGGAAAACCTTCCCTGAAAAAGAAAATCAAGGAGAATAAAAATGTTGATCCCAGCTCCTGTGCCCAGGTTTCTGTTCTGACTGCCACGCTGGATGTTGGAAAGAAAAGCCTCCATGTTTTAGCAGCAGAAAGGTTGCAAACCCTGATTTAAAGCTTCATCTTTCTCAATATGTTTAAATGGAGGCTGGAACTGTTAGGATTACTGTAGTAGAGGATTCCTACACCGAGCAAGGGGTTGGACTTAGATCAATGTTTCTCAACCTCAGCAACTTTAAGATCTGTGGACTTCACCTCCCAGAATACCTCATGCTGGCTGGAGAATTCTGGGAGTTGAAATCCACACATCTCAAAGTTGCTGAGGTTGAGCAACACTGAAGATTCCCTCCAACCCTTACATTCAATGACTGATTGGCTGAGACATCCTTTGTATGAGAACCAGAGTGTTCCAAGCCTGTCCTCAGTTCAGTGATGTCATTTCCAAAGGTTTTGACTTCTCCGGGTCCTCTTGCTTGTAAGCTTGATACGCAATTTCTTCTCCCACACTGAACATACTGAAGTCATATGTTGGATTAAAAAAGGCAAGGAGGAGAACAGCCTAGAAGAGTTTACAAATGTTCTTAAGTCCATACAGAAGCCTATGCTTCCAAATGTGGAGAATTCAGATTTAACACCATTTTGTTTGGCTGGTTGAAAAGTGGTTGGGGAAGCACGTTTGTAAATTCATGACAGACTTTACTGTCTCTTGGTGCTTCTGTTCCTTCTCAAAAACTTAGTGTCTTTACAAAAGCAGCAGCAGACCAGCCTTCAGCAACCTGTTGTCACCCAGATGGGCTGGAAATTCAAGCCCTGGAACTCCCAGCTATCTTCAGCTTCCTAGAAATTGAGATCCCAAGTCATCTGGATAACAGCAACTTATGGAAGACTGCTAGAGATTCATTTGATGCTAAACAAAGGTGTCAGGATAAACCTCTTGACTTTGTACATCTAGACTGGCCTTAGATGCCTTGTTTTGGGTGCATTTGGTTGAACCTAGACACCTAATAATTCTTAAGAATTTCTCTGATCCCTTTCAAAAAGAGTGGCCATTCCTACATCATGCATCGGGGAAAAAAATACTTACACTAATTGTATCATGTCTTTTTCACCCAGTGTAATAACTGATGAATGCAGCTCCACTTTGAAATCTAGTTTTTAATGCAGCTTCTCCTTTGGAATTCACAGTCCCTTTTTCCTTCCCATGTAGGATCAACCATGCTGGGGGCAAAGCCCATCTTTGCTGCCTTCACCCTTCAGCTTCCCTTCCTCCTCCTTTTCTTGACTGGAGTCTCTCCCCAGTGCCAGATCAGCACAGCCGATGAATGTGAGGAGCAAAAAGACTTTGTGCCTGGTTACGGCTTGGCTGGAGAAGGCTTTGACATCACCACACTGGAGAGGAAGGAGGCCAAGGTGTTGGATCTGAGTAAATGGCAGAACGCTGATGGCACCTGCACCCTGTGCCGGAACCCTCTTCTGGAGGGGAGGCCTCTCCAGAGACTTCCCTTGGCAGCCACTGACTGGGTAGCTAAAGCTGCGTGTCAGAGGAAGATCCACACTTCCCTACAGAGCTCTGGCATCGGTGTGGTTCAGGCAGCAGCAGCCGATGTGAAAAATGACTGGAAGGTTGGACTGGACGTAGAGGCGAAACCTCAGAATCAGGTCCAACTGTCTTTGGCTGGAACCCACTCCAAGTTAGCTGACTTCACCATGGAGAAGGGTAACCAAGACAAGTATACGTTTGCAGGTCACGAGATCTCCTGCTCTTATTACAGGTGAAGGAGGCATGGGGGAGGTACAAGGGCTGGGGATTTAATACAATCATCCTTTTGTGTGTTAGATGTTTTGAGGGTATCTTGTGGGGAAGGGCAAATGAATGAGTGTCCAAGTCCAGGTTTCTTGTCTGACAGGTATCCAGCTCTCACTCAGATTCAAGTATGCCTCATTTATGAGAAATCTTACAGGAGTGCTGGAAACCTTATTTATGTAATATGGATGTAACATGTGGAGTGGGGAGATGACAAGCAGGGTGATGATAGTTTGTAAAGCTAAAGATACCTCGGAGTCAAGATTGACTCCTGGTGACTGCATCTGTGCAATTTTGGGGGGCAGTATTTCAATTTTGTCACTGCTGCCTTCCAAGATGGTTTTCCAATTCCTTAATCTAACCAACAGCTCTGGAATTCCTATTCAAATATTAACCAGGCTTGACTCAGCCAGATGTTTCCACCTGCTTAAGGCCTGGATGGTAATTAGTAACAATTAATAACATAATTTGTCCTACCAGTAGTCAAATGAGATAAGTCATTATTCCCATCAGAAGTGAAAAACGGAGTCAACAGTATTTTCCTCTCTCTCAACAGCAGAATTCCATTGTAGTGCTGGCTCCCACTGATTTATTGAAAACACTTTTTATGCTACTCTTCGTACAACACAGAGCAGCTTTAAAAAGATAGTAATACACCTTCCGTACAAAAAGTAAAAAGGCTAAAAGAGAAAGCAGAAGAAAGGCAAACTCATGCATTGGTTCAAATAGGTTTCTTGGTGGATCTTGATTGAGATCCATTTGAATTCACATCTCTCACTAGCCCCTGGTAGCACTTAGCACTGGCACTTTTATTTGACATGTGCTTATATTTGAGATGGTACAAGGCCTATTTTTTCCCCCAACAGCAATCCTGTGAGGTTGGTAGGGCTGAGAGAGAGGGGGACTGGCTCAAAGTCATCCAGTGGGCTTCCATGGCTGAAGGTAGATTAGAACATGGGTCTTCCTGCACCTAGTCCAACACCTTCACCACTGTACTATCCTTTCTGTGCCAGCTTGCCAACCAATTCTAATTCTGCCAAATTGGAATAAATCTTTATAGATGATCACAAACCAGTCCAAACC